CCCCTCATCATCCTCATAGCCCTCTGCTGGACTCTCTCCAGCAGCTCCTCAACTTTCTTGAACTGGGGAGCCCAGAACCGGACACAGTACTCCAGATGGGGCCTCACCAGGGCAGTGTAGAGGGGAAGGAGAACCTCCCTCTACCTGCTGGCCACACTCCTCCTAATGCATCCCAGGATCCCATTAGCTTTTTTGGCAGCCAGGGCACACTGCTGGCTCATGGTCAACCTGTCGTTCACCAGGACACCCAGGTCCCTCTCCGCAGAGCTGCTCTCCAGCATGTCCACCCCAAGCCTGTACTGATGCATGGGGTTGTTCCTCCCTAGGTGCAGGACCCTGCATTTGCCCTTGATGGACCTCATCAGGTTCCTCTCTGCCCAACTTTCCAGCCTGTCCAGGTCATGCTGAATGGCAGCACAGCCTTCTGGTGTAGCTACCACTCCTCCCAGTTTTGTGTCATCAGCAAACTTGCTGAGGGTATATTCTAACTATTCATCCAGATCTTTGATGAAGAAGTTAAACAAGACTGGGCTGTGTGAAGTGAAGTGAGCCACCTGAGCAGCACCAGAGAAGGTAAAAGGGAGATAAACAGGATTTTCTCTGAGATGCATCAGCTTCAAGAGTGCCAGACCCCAAATTCAATGGAGAAGCAGGCAGTGTATACTGCTAGCTAGACAAGGTAAGTGCAAGTTCAGGAGAAGTTGAGGGATGGAAGCTGGTGACTTCTGGCACAAAGCAGAAGGTTTCTGCCCCACCTGAGGGCTTACAGCTACAAAATATGTTCACCCTCCTGCAAGTTAAAGACGAGTCAGATGTGCCTTCAAGCAAAGGATCTGGTCCACCTGACTCTAAACAATGGATGATGTCCTGGGTTTGGCCAGGACAGGGTTAATTTTCACTGGACTCCAGGAAGGGGCACAGTTGGGGGGGTGGGGGCTGACCCCACCTGGCCAAACAGAGCCGGGTATTCCATACCATGTGACGTCACGCTGGGTTCCGGTGGGGGGGATGGCACAGCGGGAACTCACCCACGGCTCGGGAGCGCGCGGCCCCGGTCCTGTCCTGGAGAGAGGGTCTGTTGTATGAGTTTGTGTCGTATTTTCTCCTTATCTGTATCGTTGTTTTTCCTGTTCCCTTTGTTTGCTGTTCTGTTAAACTGCCCTTATCCCGACCCACCAGTTTCTGCCTCTTTCTATTCTCCTCCGCACGCTGGCGGGGGGAGTGGGGGCCGCGTGGCGCTTTTGTTGCCGGCGGCAGCCGAAACCAAAACAGATGACCACCAGGAAGAAGTGGAGACTGGTCATAACGTGTGCCTCGCTGCCGTGGGGGGCAGAAGCACTGGTCTGCCAATGTGGACTATAATCTAGAGAGGTTTGGTGCCTGCTGGGCACCCAGATCCAGGACATTGTGGAGGAACTGACAAAGCTCATTCAGCCCTCTGTCTACTAGGGCCCACTGTTACTCCTTGTGGGCAAAATGATACTGCTAGGGAAAACCTGGACTGAATCAGAAGTGATTACAGAGCTTTGAAGGAAGGTAGTCCAGGTCATGGGGGCCCAGGTGGTGTTATCCTCAATCCTGCTGGTGAAGGGAAAGGGTGTGAGGAAGAGGGCACTGATAAAACAGATTAATAATTGGCTGTGGAACTGCAGTCGACGACAGGTTTTTGGGTCCTACAACCATGGGACCTTGTTTCAGAGCAGTGTCTGCTCAGAAGAGGTGGGGGTCCACCTCACCAAGCAGGGTAAAGTTACCTTTGCTAGTAGGATGGCTGACCTGTTAAGGAGTGCTTTAAACTAGCAATGACAGGGGAATGAGAGAGTAAGCTGCAGCCAGTGAGCAAAGCGCCTGGGTGATGTGCCAGAAAGGGATCACAAGACCAAGAAAACAGGGCTAAAGTGGGATCACCTCTAGCAGTTGCATGTAAGTGAGGAAGTGTCTACAAGGCAGCATTATGGAGAAATCCCCAAAACTCTTTCTAGGAATTCAACATGCTGGGATGCCTCTGTCAACTGCCACTGCACTAATACACACAGTATGAGGAATAAAAGCAATGAGCTAGAGATGTGTTTGCAGTTGCAAGGCTGTGATGTTGGGATCACGGGGGCATGGTAGGATGGCTCCTGTGACTGGGGTGTTGCAATGCAGGATTACAGGCTCTTTTGGAAGGATGGGCTGTGAAGATGATGATGATAAGAAGATGCCCTTTCTGTGAAAGAGCAGTTGGAGTGTATGGAGCTCTGCCTGCAGATGGATGATGAGCCAACAGAGACCTTGTGTGTAAGGGTTAAAGGGAAGACAGGTAAGGGTGACGTTTTAACGGGTGTCTGCCAAAGGCTGCCTGATCAGGAAGAACAAGCAGATGAGGCCCTCTACAGATAGATAGGAGCAGCTTCACATTCACAGGCACTAGTCCTTAAGGCAGACTTCTGTCACAGTGGTATCTACTGGAGAGACAGCACAGCAGGATATAAGCAAGCCAGGAGATTCCTGGAGTGCATTCACAACAACTTCATTACCCAAGTAATAGAAGAGCCAACAAGGAGAGGTGCTCTGCTGGAGCTCTTACACACCCTAGGAAAGTGATAGAGCAGCTAATCCTGGTAACAATTTCCAGGCACATGAAGGACAAGAGGCTGTAGTCATCATGGATTCACTAAGGGGAAGTCCTGCTTGACCATGCTGGTATCCAGCTATGATGAAATGACTGGCTTGGTAGACAAGAAAAGAGTGGTGGATATAGTCTTCCTTGACTTCTATACAGCTTTCTACACTGTCTTCCATGGGATGCTTATATAGAAGCTGTTGGTGTACAGGCTGGATGAACAGGCACTGAGGTGGATGAAAACCTGGATGAACACTTTTCAACCACTGGGCGATGATCAGTGGAACAAAGACTAGTTGGGGACCAGTAACTAGTGGTGTCTGCAGGGGTCAATACTTGTTTAAATCCTGTTCAACATCTTCATTAATGATCTAGATGACAGGGCAAAGTGTACCCTTAGCAATTTCACAGTTGATGCTAAATAAAAAGCTGATACACCAGAGGATCATGCTGCCATCCAGAGGGACCTCAACAGGTGGGAGAAATGGGCTGACAGGAAATTTCTGCAGTTCATTAAGGGGAAAAGCAAAGTCCTGCACTGGGGACAAAAAACCCCATGCACCAGTATGTGCTGTGGATCGATCAATTGTAAAGCAGCTTTGCAGAAGACCTGGGTGGTCTTCTGTCCTGTTGGACACCAAGATGACAATAAGCCCAAAATATGCCCTTGCCTCAAAGAAAGCCAGCAGTGTTCTGGGCTTCATTGAGAGGAGTGTTGCCAAAAGATCAAGGAGGGTGATTGTTCCCCTCTACTCAGCACTGGTGAGATCACTCCTGGAGTACTGGTTTTGGGTCTACACTCCCCAGTACAAGGAAGAAAGACAGTTCAATGAAGTGGCATAAAGAGGATGAACATACAGGAACATCTCTTTTATAAGGAAAGGCTGAGAGAGCTAGAACTGTTCAGCATGGAGAAAAGAGTGCTCAGGGTGGATCTTACCAATGTATCTAAAAATCTGAAGGGGGGGTGGAAAGAAGAAAGAGCCAGGCTCTTCTCAGAGGTGCCCAGTCACATGACCACAGACAACAGGCACAGGCTGAAACATGGGAGGGTCTGTCTGAAACATCAGGAAACACTTTTTTACTTGTAAGGGTGATGGAGCACGGGCACAATTTTGCCAGAGAGTTTGTGGATTCTGCCTCCTTGGAGATATTCAGAAGTGATCGGGACATTGTCCTGGGGAACCTGCATTAGACGGCTGTGCTACAGAAGTGTGGCTGGACAAGGTCATCTTCAGAGGTCCCTTCTAACTTCAACCATTCTGTGATTCCTCAAAAGACTTTTTATGAAATAACTTTTCCCACTGTTTCTAAACCCTTCCAGGGTAGCAGAAAATGGATGTTTCCAGCATGTGCCCATGATCAAAAGGTATAGAGAAGGCTTTTAAATTTTCAGTCAGTACTCTTTTGTCATATAACAGCTTCTGTGTCTTCCAAAGGAGCCTTGGTTTCAATTACCCACTTCTTCTTGTTCCTGGGATAGAGCACTGCTCCCGCAGGTGCACTGCTGGACCCGAGACATGTCCTGCTATGACCAGTGCCTGTCATGCCAAGCCCTGTGGCCTGACCTGGCTGGCCAACATCTGTAATGAGCCTTGTGTCAGGCAGTGCCAGAACTCCACCGTCATCATCCAGCATCCTCCTGTAGTGGTGACTCTGCCCGGTCACATCCTCAGCTCCTTCACACAGAACACCATTATTGAATTCTCCACTTCTGGTGTCATTGGCAGTATCCTCAGCTGTGATGGAGTGCCCATCAACTCTGGGTGCTGTGACCTCTCTGGCATTTCCAGCCTGTATGGTAGCAGAAGGTGCCTCCCCTGCCAAAGCTACTGGTGACAGCCTGGACAAGGACCCCCAGGAACCCAGAATCTTACGTCAGACTGAGGACTGAGCTGCCGGCCATTGATTTCCGAAAGGCTGAGCATCCAGTGCTGCCCTTCCAAAGGAGGGCAGCTAGTGCTTTCTGAAAACATGGCCAAAGTCTAACTTCCTTGTCTTCCATTCTCTCCCACTTCTTTCTTGTCTTCTGTTCTTCTGAGCTGTAAGAACCCCAAAGCCAACTTGGGGCATCTGTTGGCCCCTCTCCTTCTTTCAGGCAGGAAGATGGATGCCCTGAGGGATCTTCACTATGGGCAAAGGATGTGGACTTTCTGCAGTTGCTGATGCTCTCCCTGCACTGGCAGCCTCCTGTGGAAGCAAATTTTTTTCCCACTTAACAGTCTTTAAAGTTTTCTGCATCCCAGCCTCTGCCTCCACAATATCCTTTTCTTCATGCACATTGTCTCAAGTTGCTGAAAAAGAAAGGCATTATCTTGGGTGGCAGGCAATAAGGTTGGGGCACAAGAGGAAGAGGAAAGGGAGAGGGGGACACAGGGTGGTGGAGCCCTGCTAGTCACTGTCCCTTGGAGCTGATGAAGACATAGTCAGCTCCTTCACAGCCAGTGGCGATCAAGTCCTGTATTCTGGCATCTCTGCTCAGATATGTCCGCTTGGCCTCAGAGCATGTCCCATAGACAGGTAGGTTATCCAATGCGTTCCTTTAGAGAGGAGCCTGGGACTGCTGGAGGCTTTGAGAACTTAGCAGCTCACAAGCATGTGAAGAAGGGAATTCCTCCTGCTTTGGATAGCCCAGTGCTGGGAAATGAAGCTCAGCCAGCACATGACCTCAAAGGTTGCAGGAGTGACGATGGTGTGAGAAAAAGCCTTTAAAACAGCTCCAGCACTTCTCCTCCTCATCCTCCTTCCTGTGCCCAGAAAGAGGGAGCATAGCCTGCACTCAAGGGCAAGGGTAGTAAGGGCAAGTCACCTATATTTCCTCCACCCCTGAAACAGTTCCCTGCCTGGCCCAGCAGTTATACAGATGTGCAGGGCTAAGGCAACTCACAGGTTGATGTTGAAATCAGCCTGGCCACGCCACACACCACAGCCTTCATGCCTCTCAAATACCCCCACCTCCCACCAGACATGCTTGGCCTTCCCGCAGACATGAAGCAACTTTCCCTCAGGACAGCTCTTCTGCTGGCAGGGCCGGTTGCCCACCTCTACCTGGTGGTCTGCTCCCCCTTTGAGATCTTGGATAGAGCTGTACAGCCTGTTCCCACTGCAAAAGAAATAAGGCAGGGCTGTGGGGAATCGCACAAGGTAGAGCATGAGAAGGGCTCCAAGGATAAATACAGTGCACTGAGGAGAGCAGGTCTTCCAGATTTCAGCACACAGCCACACAGCAACTGTAAGGGTCAGAAGGTGGTTCTGATTAGTATTCAAAATTGTTGCAATCATGTAATCCAGGAAGGAGCATTGCCAGATAGAGTGGTCTTTATGTTTTTCATCATACTTTGAACCTCTGAGTTCAAATACCTCAGATACCTCTGAGGGGCACATCCCAGACCAGGTACTCTAAGAGACAGGCCCACTGGAAACTCTGAATAAGCAATGTGCAGCAAGGAAAACCAGAAAGCAAAAAGCAGCAGCAAGGAACCATTGTACAAGTGATCCCAACCTCCCGCATTGCCATGTAACATATGGTGAAAATGAGGGATTCTGAGAGTTCTTCACCATCTTCTTCCTTTCAAGCCATGGACACTGGCTCCTCCTGAAAGAGGATCTTGGAGTGCAGAGCTCTGGGTGCACAGGGGAAGCAGTTCTGCCAGGGGAAAACTAAGGGCCCGTTTCACCAAACTCAGCCTTGCACTACAGACACATTCCCTCCCTCCCTTGGGTTGTTGCACAGCCAAGGAATCTCCCTGCACCAAGGTGTCACAGCACAGAGGTACAAGGCACTGTCAGAGACCTCAACTTCCTCCAGCTGCAGGAGGCTGTATTTCTCTGTGGTGTTCAGCAACGTGGTAAACCGGCCACTCTGTTTGGGGCCAACGGCTGTGTGATACGAGATCTGCTGTGGGGCTTGGCCTTGCTTCTGCTGGTACCAAAGCAGAGCGTAAAGGGAGGAGGTTTGGTAGGTGCAGGTTGTTTGGAAGGTGTCTCTCTGCTTCACTGTGACTTGTCCTTGCTGGCTGATGGTGGTCTGCCCCATGGTGCCTGGAAGAAAGCGAAGGTCAGCAGC